GTTCTCTCAACGGACAAACTCCCTTGCCGTGCTTATCCCTCTATTTGGCCGATTTCTACTCTTTCCAGCCGCCTCCCCAAGCCTGGTAGAGGCTACTGAAGACCCCCAAACTAGTGCGCGCGAGCGAATAAAAAAAATTCCGGCCAAAAATAAAAATGCTACCAAACCACAAGAATACAAAGCCGGTATTGTGAACTTGCGGCAGTAAGGCCACACCGACTTCATTCTATGGATAATATCCTCTGAAGACCCCCAAACTAGTGCGCGCGAGCGAATAAAAAAATCCCGGCCAAAAATAAAAATGCTACCAAACCACAAGAATACAAACTTAAGCCGGTATTCCATGGTCTAAAAAAGAGAAGACAAACCCCTTAGACATAGTTCTAGACAGTTATAGCTTGAGACAACTACCTTTTATCATGTAGATTTTAGTTATTTTATACTCTGTTTCATTGTTCTTTTATGTTTGTAATCTGCAATTAGCCTCCGGGTACGAAATTGCAATAAACTTCTCATTGTGAATTTGCGGCAGTAAATGCGACAAGCCGGCACATGCTGGATTTTTGCGGAATTTATGAATCGGCATGACCATCTCAACACCGCATGATTAAACTGCAAAGTACCTAACGACGAAGTTGCAGTCTAGCTGCTGCTATAAAGTGAACCATCCCTCTAGCTCTCTACCCAAAGCTTTCAAAACCAATAAACGATCAGTAAGGCCACTGCAAGTAATTCTATGTATTGTGTCCTCTCTTTGCCATCATTTATCATTGGGTGGGAAACCGGACTTGCGCTTTTGAATTTCCTGTATATACTGTTTTGCCTGTCTTAAAGTTGCGTTTGTTTTTTCTTTATTATATGTATTTATTTATTTAGTGGTGCCGTAAACATAAGTGCTTTCCACTTGAGTGCGGCACCACCAAGTCTTGTACCTTTTTCTATGTGAATGAATAATAAAAAAAAGTAATTCCTACGGATGACATGAGCTCGCGCATTAATGTTTTCCTGATTTTGGGAGAAAAAAAACACAAGAAATTTTATTCCCTTCTGAAAGTGGTCAACATGCCGGTAACACAGGCAAAGATGTCTGTTGCCACGCCGGAACGTGGATGGCAGATAAATATGAAGAGTGGAGACAAGACAAGGCTCTGATTTATTGTTTTGTATTCTATTTTGATACAGTGAGGTATTCCATTCCTTTTATATGTCATGTTCCCCGGATCAAAAACATTTGTACAATGATTGAAAACTTATTTTTCAGTGACAAATGGATGTTGTAATAGTTGGTAGTAAACACGGCACAATATATGTATGATTTCTTGTTTAACAAGGTTGATGATGTCAAAATTTCAAAATGTGGGAACCTTGTTTTTTTTGTTTGTCAGCCTTGTTCTTTTTTCGCCCTATCGCATTAGATTTAGAGTCTGCGGAGGACATCATCCACAAAGTTTACTTGCTGTGGCCTAAATGGTAAATCGCAGCATCTCTCAGAAACGTTAGTCAAAATTTTAAAATGTGGGAACCTTGTTTTTTTTTGTTTGTCAGCCTTGTTCTTTTTTCGCCCTATCGCATTAGATTTAGAGTCTGCGGAGGATGTCATCCATAAAGTTTACTTGCTGTGGCCAAAATGGTAAATCGCAGCATCTCTCAGAAACGTTAGTCAAAATTTAAAAATGTGGGAAACGTTTTTGTTGTTGTTTGCAAGCCTTGTTCTTTTTTCGCCCTATCGCATTAGATTTGGAGTCTGCGGAGGATGTCATACATAAAGTTTACTTGCTGTGGCGTAAATGGTAAATCGCAGCATCTCTCAGAAACGTTAACGTTAGTCAAAATTTAAAAATGTGGGAACCTTGTTTTTTTGTTTGCAAGCCTTGTTCTTTTTTCGCCCTTTCGCATAAGATTTGGAGTCTGTGGAGGATGTCATCCATAAAGTTTACTTGCTGTGGCCTAAATGGTAAATCGCAGCATCTCTCAGAAACGTTAACGTTAGTCAAAATTTAAAAATGTGGGAACCTTGTTTTTTTGTTTGCAAGCCTTGTACTTTTTTCGCCCTATCGCATTAGATTTGGAGTCTGAGGAGGATGTCATCCATAAAGTTTACTTGCTGTGGCCTAAATGGTAAATTGCAGCATCTCTCAGAAACGTTAACCCAACTCTTACGCAGAAGGGCCGGCCCCCTGGACCCGAGGAACCACTGCGGGTTCTTTCAACAGACGTCAAACCTATGCGGCAAAGGGACGATATTAGCAGATTAAACGACAGCGGCCTTTGCCACCATCATCACACACAAATACATGCCGTACAGAAAAGAGTTTGCTCCCCGTGGATCGTTGCCTTTTGATCACATTGCCTTCCGGCGTTGATAGTTTCTCGTTGAGATCGCGGCACGGCCTCGTCTGTTTTCTATAATTTCCCAGTGGTCTAGAGATCAAGTGTCAGCGTTACGTACAGAGAAAAGAACAGTCGAGGCCGTCATTTCTCGTGTCTTTCATGTGCCAATGCCATCATGTACCACGCTGATATTACGAATGAAAAGAACGTATCTCAGAGGAGTATCGTACGGAAAATAAGAAGACAGGCTTGATTGTTTGGCCTTGGCGCTGGTTATCTGTGATAAGCGCGGAATGTCCCGAATGAACTTTTTCAAGCGAGTCGTAAAACTCTTCCTTTTAATCCACATTCAATTGGACTGAAACGGCAGACGTATGCCCGAGGAGACTCGGAATTTCAGCGTTAAGTTTTGGTAAATTTGCAGTCATTAGGCCCTTTGCTGCGGTGTCCTCCGTGTGTCGTTACCATTAGTTCCGGCGCCGTGTCACGCTGCGTGGAGCTCTGCCGGTACAATGGCGAACCGCCCACCCGCTCAGGCCGGGTTTGTGCCGCTCCCCACGCCAACATGGAGTAACGACCATCTTCTGTAACCCACGCGATGCGGTCAAAGGGTCTTTTTGAATGCACGGCGATCTGTGGCATTGCCAATTGTACGGTTCGCCGGATGCTTCGCCCCCAGTCATCAACTATATCTTGTCTGGCAGTGGACGTCTCCGTCAAACTATTATTTTGACCCCTGGATCTGTCCTTGGTGCTGAAATCTGCACTGTTTCACGCATTGAGTACTTTCTTTTGCCGGACAGAGCTAGCAAGTTTGACAGAATTCACATGTCTGGCATCTGTTCATAGTTAGCCCATGTCTACATACATGTACACTGCTTAAGGCCGTAATCGGTTTCAAAATGGAAAGAAAACCACAAAAGCGTGGGGTTGTCTTTCAGTAATCTGCACCGTTGTCAGGACTGGTTTCCGTATGGAATACCATAAACCGTGCTCCACTTGTTTCCCATTGTTAAAGTGGCTGCGAGAATATAAGTTGTACCTAACTCGAGTTCGCAGCCACTTAGTCCATGTCCTTTATTGAGGTTTATTTAGGAAAAACTCTCCTTTAGCTGCCCACCCGAGGGTGGCAGCTATTCTTCCAGGAGAGGTTACATAAGACATAACAATACATCACATACAATTACATATACATTTACATTACATGGTTATTTAAAAGAAACAAACGTGTAACATCGCATGTGCTTTACTTATTCATGTCCCTCATGTGTTTTAGTAGGCCTTGTTTGAACTTCTCATGTGATGACACTGTTTGCAGCCCATGTGGTAGAGAGTTCCATGCTGCAGTAGTTCTGTATGTGAAGGCTTTTTAGTGCCTTTCATTTGCACTTATCACTGTGTTTCTGAATGAAG